TTTATGTCTCTCTTTCTGTCTGTTTCCTTCCCCTCCATCTGTCTGTTGCGTCAGGCTTTTAAGCAGCTTGCTGGAGAGGTAAATACATTCATTGTGCATGGTGTTTTGCTGCAGTGTCTCTAGGTCTGCCATGAAAAGGAGATCTGCATGCTGTTCAAAGCTCTGCTCAACTTTACCCTGATGTTTATCTGATGTCTGATATTCATAGTGTTAGAGCACTAACCTTAACACATATGAAGCCGCATGTTTGGATGAATCTTGCTAAGAAATGTCTAGTTCATATTTGTATCTCTAAATCCAAAGAAAGACATTTTATAATGTAAATAATGCCTATGTTTTGGGCCTCTTTATTACACTGGGGAAAATCATCCTGTATAGATTTTTTAAAATTAATGTATATATATATATATATATATTAAAATAATTTAAGTAAACCAAATACTACTAGAATGATGTATACTTTCAGTTGTACTTTACAAATTTATTAAAAAAATTAATTACATATATATATTTTTTAAATAATGAAACCTTTTTCACATGATGAAACCAGCTGAATCGTTAAGCTTGGCAAATGATGATGGTCAGATTGTTTTTTGAAAGCATTCATATGTATGTTTATTCCTTTACAAAGACAGTTATGAGTTATTTTAAACATGAGATTTTATTTTCAGTAATATGTAAAAAATGAATCAAAATGTTACAGTGAGACGCTTAACAATGGAAGTGAATGGGGCTTAATTGTGATGAACATGTCAGAATCACAAAAAATTGTAATAGTTCTACAGTAGTTTTTCTGGTAACACTTTACAATAAGGTTCTATTAGTTAATGTATTAACTAACATGAACAAACAATGAACAATACATTTATTACAGTATTTATTCACCTTTGATAATGTTAATGAAATTACAGTTGTTCATTGTTAGTTCGTTAATTCACAGTGCATTAACTAATGTAAGTAAAAACATATATTGTGAAATATTACTGAAATACAATTTAAAATAACGGTTTTCTATTTTTATATATTTTGCTGAATTTTCAGCAGCCATTACTTCAGTTGCTTATTCTGTGATAAATAGAAAGTTCAAAAGAAGAGCAATATTGTTTTGATTTTGAAATATGGGCTAATCAGTTCGTGAGAGATTCATCCTCTTATAAGCTCTTGCACACCTCAAGTATTTTATTCTGTGATAAATAGAAAGTTCAAAAGAAGAGCAATATTGTTTTGATTTTGAAATATGGGCTAATCAGTTCATGAGAGATTCATCCTCTTATAAGCTCTTGCACACCTCAAGTATTTCAAATGATGGCAGTGCTGGTTTTGTGCTGTTTTTCTCTTTCATTCAGGGACGTCTCAGTAGAACTGCCTTTTGTCTTAATGCATCCAAAACCCACAGATTCCACCCTTTCACATTCAACCTCAGGTTTGTGCCGAGAAATTACTAAACACAAAACACCTCATTAATTGCACTAAATAGGCTGCATGGAACTGTGGCAGGACCTCCTTTATTAAGTTACTGTTACTTTTTTGTTCAACAGCTGCTCCAGTGTTGGATCCACCAATAGACACCAACTTGATAGAGTTTGACACAAAGTAAGCAAGAGATTTTTTTTTTTTTAAATCTAAACATTAAGCATAATGATCATATATCTCTTGTTTTAAGCTTTGTTTTTTCTATGTTACTCTTTCTAACAGCAGTTTCACCCCAGATGACGACATTGTATTCGAGGACTTTGCTCGCTTGCGGTTAAAAGGAATAATCGACAAGGAAGAGGACTGCTGAATTTATCATCTCATTTATCAAGAACAAAAGCGCTTCTCATTAAATTGTGCATCTCATCTCCTCAAGGGTGTAACAATGAAATAATTCTCATCTCATTATGAAAGAAACAGTATTGGGATATTTTACTGAAAACTGGAGAAACTTAAAAGACTAATTAATATGCATATGAAAAGGTAAGGAAGGAGGGGATTCCAGGGAATTTCATATGTTTTTGCATAGGCATGTAAAATTATATCTCTGAAATTGTGCCAGCTCTTATGCTATGAACAGCAAAATGGTGAGATTTGCTCCATATTTATTCCTTTACATGGCCATGAATTTTCATGTGATCTATATACAGTATGGACAGATGGATGGTTTCATTGACATGGGCTGTGCATGTTTCTCAGTGCTGCTGTGAGGATCATGTGTGATTGAGCACAGGATGTTAATATATAAAAGTGCTGCTTTTAATTTGTTGGACTGCTGCATTGGTTAAAAAAAAAAGAAAAGTAAATGTATAGAGATTGAACATCCTTCAAGTGAAAGGAAATTTGTTGTGTTATTACAATTTTCATAAATACAGCATACACTGTTTGCCATTTTACTTTTTATTTTAAAACGGAATTTATTTAATTTTTTTTAAATAAAACTAATAGAAATACAACATGGCTGTTACTGTTATTAAATATGAATATTAAGAATAAGCTTTATTACTAACCTCTGAGGTTTTTTGTAAAATAATCTCCAAAAGCATAGAAAAATGGCCAACAACATCAAATTCACATTCATAGATAAGCAAGTCTTAAGAAGGAGCGCGTTGAGTTTTAGACTCTTGTCGGGTTGATTTCTGAGCTGCTGTTGGCTGCACGAGATCTGACACGAGACCGCTTCTTCAGTCGACCTGCCAAACATTGCCACCTAGTGGACGATAAATGAATTGCAAATCATTGATGTGCAAAGTCACTGAAGAAACCGTAATAAAATATTAATAGAATTACATTCACCTTTCTTGTATTGCATTGTACTTATAAATCCTCTCCGCCTCCTCTTTCTTCTCCTCTAACCAGCGGTCGAGGAGCTGCTCGTTCTGGAGGTTTGCGGCAGTCAGCTCCTCTCTGAGTGAGCAGTGCTCCAGTCCCAGTGCTGTCAGTTCCTTAGATTGACACTCAAGCTGATACTCGTATTCCTCCAGATTGGCCTTCAGACAGAAAGCCCCCTGGACCAATACAACCGCTTCGGTCCTGTAGCGGGCAACTCAATGGCAGGAAGACATAGAGGCCTATTAGGACTGCTTGTCTTGATGATTTTGTCATCTTTTTCAAGATGTAACTGGCTGTTCGACCTACTGTGAGTGACAGTACTGTAACTCTGCCTCCTTCAGGCATATATTGCTGGTCAGATCTGAGATTTTCTGCCTGAGCTAGAAAAAACAGAAGAGGAAGGATATTCCATCGTTAGTAGTAGTGATAGACTATGGAAACTGATACATTGTTTCAGGGTACTTTGATGAATAATGTTCAAAAGAACAGAATTTATTTGAAAATAGAAGTATTTTGTCACCTTATAAATGTCTTTACTGTCAGTTTTGATCAATTTAATGCATCCTTGTTGAATAAAAGTATTATTTTTAAACCTTTTTTTTTCCAAACATTGAATTTTGTCCGAAAATATTAGGCAAACCAACTATTTTCAACATTGATAATACTAAGAAAATAAATTTTTACAGAGCAGCAAATCATTAGAATGAATTCTGAAAGATCATGTGACACCGAAGACTGGAGTAAAATATATTCAAATATAAAACAGTCATTTTCACTGTAATATTTCACAGTATTACTGTACTTGAATGAACAGTATGATGAATGCAGACTTGATAAGCATTAGAGACTTCTTTCAAAAACATTAAAAAAGCTTAAGTAAAAACTAATTTCATATCAATTAAGCATAACCGAAACCTTAATTAAACGTACAAATGACAAAGTTATGCACAAAATCCCAAGATCTGGTGGGAAATAAAATATTAGTTATTGCAATAAGGCAGTTTATTACTGATGTTTATTGTTCTGAATATTACTCTCACCTGTTGATTAAGAAATTCCAGCTCATTGACTCTCAAAGAAAGGGTGCCGCCTTCATCTGGGCATCTAGAGCTTCCATTTTCTTTGGAACTGTGTAAAATATGACAGCAAGCAAAACACAATAAATTGAAATGTATGGTAAGTGCATATACCAGGTTATATGCATAATCTATTCTAATCCATTCCATGAAGTCAAGAAATCAAATCAGTACTAGAATAGATGTCAGGGACTGTTTGTCTTACCTGCATGTGTCCATGTCTTGCCAGAGTTTCATGTGAAAGGCCAGCATCTCCTCTAGCCTGGACACTGTCAGAGCATCCAGCCATTACTGAAGCAATACTGATAGCTTGTGTCTGTACATTTGTAATGAAACTCACCTTTGTCAAAAAGGCCAGAGAAAGGATCTCTCTGCCTACAGTCTCTGAGAAACAGCACTCCCCGCATGTGACTCTTCCAGCACTCCATGGTCTGTGGTGGAGCTCAGTTAGACAGTTCACCTATTTTACACTCTCTTATCCAATGTATTATTACAGCGTTTTCACATTAAATATTACGGGCGGTCCCAGATAACTCATTTCTATTGCTCCGTTGCAGGTTTTCTCCAGACGTGGCGCGAATGGCTTTAATTACTAGTCAAACATAACCCATGTTTTTGTTTTGTTTTCCACCAATGCAGTCTAGTCAACAGGGTTCGCGTTCTATTAATTTGTTCCGCTGCGGCTTCCGTAGTTCGCTACACACTGAGAGCGCTTTGTGTACTAGACTACTGAGTATCTCGTCAAGTTTAGCCTACAGAGAATGAATGTAAGTCGCCTTAAAATGACCTATTAAACATGGATTTACTTCAATAAAATGACAGACATTTATATTACCACACAAACATTTAAACATTGAAATAAAAAAAGTCAAACATTCACACATTCTACATCAGTGTTTCTCAACCCTGGTCCTGGGGGCCCCCCAGCACTGAACATTTTGTGTGTCTCCCTAATCGAACACACCTGATTCAACTCATTAGCTCATTAAAAGAAACTCCAGGACCTGAAATGGGTGTCAGATAAGGGAGACATACAAAATGTGCAGTGTTGGGGGGCGCTCAGGACCAGGGTTGAGAAACCCTGTTCTACATGAACACCAGCTACTATCATATGGACTCATAGTGTCTTTTAGGTTCATCAGAAGACAACTGTTAAAGTAAAGACTTTCTGCTTGTTTTGTTTATTTATATCATAGGAAATGTGGAGCCAAAGATCTGCATATTTCTGGAAAATATAATACATAGCATGCATATATATGCACACCGCATGTATCTGTGCATATGTACCGTTTTTCATGATTATTTCACTTCGTATTCATTACACTATCACTATATCTTGTGTTTAGATTTTGACCCGAAGATGAACTGCCAAATATATCCAATTCAGACGTTTTTAAAAAATAATTACGAATAATTGCTGTTGAATTTGAAATTGTTTGGGTTTATGTGACCATGTACTCCTGGCGCTTGTTAAGGCGAACCTGACAGAGAGACAATGCACCGACGCCTACATAGATGGAAGCAGCAATGAAGCAGTTGATGCCAACTTGGTTGTAGAGTCCGTAAATGGTCTGCGGTGGATTCTTGCTGTTGAAGAAAAGAAAATTAACCAGTAAACATTTGCACGTAGAAATGTCATATCCGCCCATTCTCATTCAATGCATGTAGTCTATTCAAAACATGAGCCCTCATTATACTTCAATTAATAAAAAAATATTCACTATCATTCAAAAGTTGGGTTTGGTAAAATGGTTTAAATGTTTTTGAAATAAGTTTCTTAGGCTCACAAAGGCTGCATTTATAGCAAAAATATGGTAAAACAGTAATATTTTGAAATATTACAATTGTACTGTTTTCTATTTGAATATATTTAAAATGTAATGTATTTCTGTGATAGCAAAGCTGAATTTTCAGCATCATTACTGCAGTCTTCAGTGTCACATGATCATTCAGAAATCATTCTAATATGCTGATTTGCTGCTCAAGAAACATATTATTATTATCAATGTTGAAAACAGTTGTGCTGTTACACATTTTTGTGGAAACCATGACATTTTAGCATGATGTTTGATCCAAAGAAAGTCCAAAAGAACAGCATTTACTTCAAACTATTTTTGTAAACATTATAAATGCCTTTACAGTCACTTTTGATTAATTGAGTGTGTCCTTACTGAGAAAAGAGAGAGAGAAAAGACTTACTGACCCCAAAAAGGTAAATTCTCTTAAAATATTTGATCAGATTAACTCACTCATCGCGGATGTCTTCCTCAGTAAATGGAACATCTTCGATCAGCACAGCAGATTTTGCACTGAAGAAAATTCCCAACATTGACTGAAAAAAAATAATAATATCGTTGTTAATATTAAGACATTAGGTGGAATTAAATATGGATGGGAACCCAATACATATCTATGAACACACACACACAAAGAAAAGAAAAGTACTTAAAAATGGTCATGTCAAAGCGGTAAAGAATAGCTATGAGGCCTTTAACGTTACATCCCATTACCGTTACCCCGACACCTGCTGTTTTATTCCTCATTTCAAGTTCCTGGTATATCCTGCTGATAAATAGGTGACTGAACAGATCTATTTATTCACATTTATTATAAATGCATGCATTTTCTATCAGTGAAGATCAAAATACAGCAATATTTACTATTACTATATCGGTAAAATATTCCTGTCGTTTGGGGTGAATGCCATTAGCTACAGCTAGCAAGCAATGTCACGAAGACTATAATCCTTACCAGCATAATGACACCCCAGATGCTTAACACGATTCCACATGCGGCTAACTTGGGCCCACAGAATAAAAGCGACGGCATTTTATCCGCTTCTTCCTCTCAAAACTGGGGAAATGATTCTACGTCCAGTCGGGATGACAATGTATATCGGCAGCACTCGGGTTTGTTCGACTAGCTCCGTAAGCCCATTCGACAGCGCTCGGCTATTTTCGCAGGTCGATGTTGCGCAGATCGTGTGCTATCATTTGATTGGCTATGCACTGACCAATCACACGCCTCATTTTCGAAGCGCATTGTACTCTGGGAATTTTTAGTTCGAACTATTATGTTCCGTTCGTGCTGATTATAGAGACTTTTTAATTAGATAAATAATAAAGATAAAGATATTTTCATACGAAAGGTCACTGAATGACTGCAACAGTCATTTTAAACCGGTTTGAGCGATTTAACTATTCAGCGCAGCTGACAGAGACTCGACTGGGTTGTTTTTGTATTCGAGTCAGGTCTGTTTATTTCAGCTCATCACTCCAGCATGACTTCAGCTTCCACGAAGGTAAACAACATTTGCATTTTGTTTTTGCATCATAAATAATCTTAAGTAATTGGTAAATAAAAAGCACATATACATGTCAATCAGGTGGGCGAGATCTTCTCGGCTGCAGGGGCTGCATTCTCCAAACTGGGTGAACTGACCATGCAGCTGCATCCAGTGGCGGACTCTTCTCCTGCAGGGTGAGCCCGCGAGACGTGCTTTATGACCTCCTTTCTGCTCAGACTGCATCTCCTGCAGTATTTCACATGTACTGTTGTTGTTGAAGTGCTGTGGATATTTTATAACGGACTCTTCCTCTTGGCACACTGCTTCTGTCAGAGCCAAATGGACGGATACGGAGATCGAGATGCTGCGTTCTGCGGTTCGCCGCTTCGGTGAAGATTTGAACAGCATCAGCTCAGTCATAAAGGAGCGAACGGTGTAAGTGTTTATGAAGCTGTAGGTGTGATAGTTATTACAGCTGTATAATTGTCCGCTTTTTCTTTTCTTTTCAAAATTTAAATATTAAAATGCTCTAATATTAGATGTAATATAGTCTAATTTTGTGGAATATAAATGCTGTTTTATATGTATTTTTTGTGACAGGATCAGTTTAAAAATTGGTATTTTATATTTTCATTCATTGTAACAATAGCTTATATACCCAAAAAATCTTGTCAGCATATTTAGAATAAGAATCATAAGATGACATTAAAAGACCTGTATTTAAGAATCACAGTGCGAGAAATAATTCATTGTCATTTTAAATCTTTACCAATCCTTGCTGCCACTGTCCTTCAAACCACTAGGTTTGAACCATTTGTCAGCAAGAAGCTTTTAATAATTTAATATATAATACAATTTCATATACGTTATATTAAGTACAGTTTAGAATAAGTATGTTTCATTTTTACATAAATATATATGTTACGCTGAATGGCGATGGAACATTATTTCACACATATTTTGATTTCTTATTTTCACAAAAGTTACTTAGAATCTTGAAGTAGACACTTTATTTGCATTTAATATGCTTTCTATGTATATAAAATCACTTTTGACTTATTGTGTAGCGACCCATACTCAGAATTAGTGCTCTGCATTTAACCCATCCAAAGTGCACACACACAGCAGTGAACACACACCCAGAGCAGTGGGCAGCCATTTATACTGCAGCGCCCCGGGGAGCAGTTGGGGGTTCAGTGCCTTGCTCAAGGGCACCTCAGCTGTGGTATTGACGGTGGGAGAGAGCGCTGTACATTCACTCCCCCAACCTACAATCCCTGCTGGTACGAGACTCGAACCCACAACCTTTGCATTACAAGTCCGACTCTCTAACCATTAGGCCACGACTTTTGTAAATTTGTAATTTGATGCAGACACCAAAATAGTCCTTTGCAGACGTTGTGTCTTTGACCCATATATAAAATCAATAAAAATGATATTAGAAGTCATTTATACATTCTGTAAAAGTTGGGGCTTCTTTCCCCAGGTATGGGGCCAACTTACCACAGTGGTGGTGTAAGTTGGCCTCTTTGAATAATTTTACATTTTGTGCTTTAATAACTATATTAGCAAATGTTTCTGTTTATTTTCTATAATAACACATGGGCTGACGCACCATCACATGCTAAACTATCTAAATATGTTACAAATTAAAAGCAAATGCACATTGTTATTAAGGAGTGCATCTTCTCCTGTCTAACCCTAATGCACCACGTGAACACACACCCAGAGCAGTGGGCAGCCATTTATGCTGCGGCGCCCGGGAAGCAGTTGGGGGTTCGTGCCTTGCTCAAGGGCACCTCAGTTGTGGTATTGACGGTGGGAGAGAGCGCTGTACATTCACTCCCCCCACCTACAATCCCTGCCGGTACGAGACTCGAACCCATTACAAGTCCGACTCTCTAACCATTAGGCCACGACTTTTGTAAATTTGTAATTTGATGCAGACACCAAAATAGTCCTTTGCAGACGTTGTGTCTTTGACCCATATATAAAATCAATAAAAATGATATCAGAAGTCATTTATACATTCTGTAAAAGTTGGGGCTTCTTTCCCCAGGTATGGGGCCAACTTACCACAGTGGTGGTGTAAGTTGGCCTCTTTGAATAATTTTACATTTTGTGCTTTAATAACTATATTAGCAAATGTTTCTGTTTATTTTCTATAATAACACATGGGCTGACGCACCATCACATGCTAAACTATCTAAATATGTTACAAATTAAAAGCAAATGCACATTGTTATTAAGGAGTGCATCTTCTCCTGTCTAACCCTAATGCACCACACATCTCTCTGTCTCTCTTTTTCCTCATCATCTTGTAGCGCCCAGATTAAGACCACCGTGAAAAGGAAGCTGTATGAGGACAGCAGGGTTCCTCTCACTGCAGAGTCGCCTAAAAAAACGATGAAGAAAACCACAGTGACGCTACAGCCCCCTCCTGCATCAGTCGCCCCCACAGTTATCACTTTGCCGACCTCACAGGTTGGCATGACAACTGGATTGCAGAGTTCTTTGTCTTTACAACCAGCAATAAAGAACCCTAAACCAGCAGGTGACTCAGTTTTAATGGAAAAAGGATAAAAATTTTTACAAAATAGCAATTAGTAATATTAGTATACAAGTGGTGTGGTTATGTCTGTCAGCACACTTACAGTTTGGCTGTCTATTATTAGATGTGACTCTGAGTGCTCTGAATGACTCTGATGTGAACAGTGATTTGGTGGATATTGAAGGGCTTGGAGAGGGTTCCACTAAAACACCAAACTTTGACCAAGGTGAGTCACATTTTAAATTAAATGAGACATAATTGACCCAAAATTGAGAATTCTGTCATCATTTACCCTCGTGTCATTCAAAACCCTTTTATGGTTCATTTGTATTTATTATGAAGCTACAAAACAGGGTTTCTGCGGGTCTTAAAAAGTATCAATTCACCCTTCCACAAATTTAGGCCTTAAAAGTTGTTTTTGCGCAGAAAGTCTTAAATTCAGAAAGTAATGGCATTAAATTGTGCATGCGCTGCAAAAATGTAATATCTTCTTCTGTATTTTTGTCTTGTTTTCCAATATGAATTTATGCTGAAAACAAGAAAAACATGTTATTGGGATCCGAAAACATGTTTTCCCTTTAAATTAAGTTGTTTTGTCTTGAGCCCATTGGCAAGTATTTGTTATTGTTTTAATCATAAGCTCAATTCACTTTGACCAATTTCACAGAAAACAAGACTTCTTATCTTATTTGATATTGCTTTTCAGTGTATGTTGATTTAAGAATCATTATATATTTGCTCTGGAAAAAAAGACAAACATACTGAGGAATTACATGACTTTTTTGCAGTGTGATCAGAAGGTACAGTAGAAGGTATTTCCATATTGTATTTCAACTATATACAGTGGGTACGGAAAGTATTCAGACCCCCTTAAATTTTTCACTCTTTGTTATATTGCAGCCATTTGCTAAAATCATTCAAGTTAATTTTTTTCCCTCATTAATGTACACACAGCACCCCATATTGACAGAAAAACACAGAATTGTTGACATTTTTGCAGATTTATTAAAAAAGAAAAACTGAAATATCACATGGTCCTAAGTATTCAGACCCTTTGCTGTGACACTCATATATTTAACTCAGGTCCTGTCCATTTCTTCTGATCATCCTTGAGATCGTTCTACACCTTCATTGGAGTCCAGCTGTGTTTGATTATACTGATTGGACTTGATTAGCAAAGCCACACACCTGTCTATATAAGACCTTAAAGCTCACAGTGCATGTCAGAGCAAATGAGAATCATAAGGTCAAAGGAACTGCCTGAAGAGCTCAGAAACAGAATTGTGGCAAGGCACAGATCTGGCCAAGGTTACAAAAAAATTTCTGCTGCACTTAAGGTTCCTAAGAGCACAGTGGCCTCCATAATCCTTAAATGGAAGACGTGTGGGACGACCAGAACCCTTCCTAGAGCCGGCCGTCCGGCCAAACTGAGCTATCGGGGGAGAAGAGCCTTGGTGAGAGAGGTAAAGAAGAACCCAAAGATCACTGTGGCTGAGCTCCAGAGATGCAGTCGGGAGATGGGAGAAAGTTGTAGAAAGTCAACCATCACTGCAGCCCTCCACCAGTCGGGGCTTTATGGCAGAGTGGCCCGACGGAAGCCTCTCCTCAGTGCAAGACACATGAAAGCCCACATGGAGTTTGCTAAAAAACACCTGAATAAGATTCTCTGGTCTGATGAGAACTTTTTGGCCTTAATTCTAAGCGGTATGTGTGGAGAAAACCAGGCACTGCTCATCACCTGTCCAATACAGTCCCAACAGTGAAGCATGGTGGTGGCAGCATCATGCTGGGGGGGTGGTTTTCAGCTGCAGGGACAGGACGACTGGTTGCAATCAAGGGAAAGATGAATGCGGCCAAGTACAGGGATATCCTAAACGAAAACCTTCTCCAGAGTGCTCAGGACCTCAGACTGGGCCAAAGGTTTACCTTCCAACAAGACAATGACCCTAAGCACACAGCTAAAATAACGAAGGAGTGGCTTCACAACAACTCTGTGACTGTTCTTGAATGGCCCAGCCAGAGCCCTGACTTAAACCAAATTGAGCATCTCTGGAGAGACCTAAAAATGGCTGTCCACCAACGTTTAATCTGTTATATTTTCAA